AGGTTTTATAAATTTCATGGATCATGTCATAACAGTTTTGTTAATTTAAATTAGAAACCATAAATTTCGTGCATGAATTATACACCCTTCAGTCTTCAATATTACACTATGATCATGTGCTAGCAAACCATTTTGCAGGTAATACACCATTGCTTGTAACACATATGGTCATTTTATCACTGTAAATTAGGGGACAGGCAATTCTTGAATTCGGGGTCTTCTTTCCGAGTTTTCTGGTGATGTTGCCTTCCTCTTGTTAGTATTGTTGTTGTTGAGGTCATTGTCTATTATGCTATCATTCTGTTCTTTGGTGTCATTAATGTTAGTTATATTAAGGTGGTGGGAATGAAGTTTCCTTAAATCTGCTAATTTGACAGGTTTCAACAGGAATTCTTCTGCTCCACCTTCCGAACACATGTTTAATTAATCAAATACATTGATGCATCAGCAAAATCTATGCATAATCAAGAAAAAGCTAGTTCAAGGCAAGTATTAGGTTACTCAAAGTTAATTTAGAATTACAAAATAGTCGATTTGGTTCTTATCTATCTTGTTTGGGCCAAACATGTACAGCCTTTCTACTGTGTTGATCTTGAAAACAATGGCTGATTTTCAGAACTTGATAAACCTCAGGGTGCCATAATGGAAGATTCAGCAACTAATATATAAATTATCAAAAGCTCAACCAAGTAAATCCAATTTTCACCATGGCGAAACATGCAAAATGCTACTATATATTAGTTACAGTAACAAATCACGATCTTTTATTACTCTACCATATTCCGTTTCATGCAAACCTCTTGAATTCAACACATCTCTCTAAAGAGAGCCACATTATAGGAGAAAAAATAATTCATCCATGCCTCAATGACAAGCAAATACCACAATACAAGTGTTCATCAAAGAATCATTAAGAGTAAGTATTTCATGGAACTTTTAAGAAAAAGAATGAGCTCAAAATCAAAATAACAACTTATAGAATTTAATACAATTCAAATCGACTTTTTTGCTAGTGTACAGATACTCAGTTTGAATAAACTAATTTATAAGAAAACTTATTTTAATTATTTGTTCTTCTACAAAAAAAAAAAAAGAATGAAAACAGCACAAACTATAACAAACAATTAGTACAATACAATCTTCTTGCAAAAAATAAATAAATATAATAATAATAAACAGACATTTTTCTTATTTTTTGGGTTACGATCAATATCATGACAAGTTGGTAGACTAGCCAAGCTTGAAATAGTATACGCTTGGTGCGATAGAATTGTCCGAAACAAGATTACATTATATTTTTTTTTGTGAACATCTGATAAAATCTAGGATTGGAGCTTTGATATGGAGCTGGAAATGAGCAGTGAATGAACTAAAAAACAGAGGATAAAAAACGGGTTAAGGACCTGCTGTAAATGCAGGGAAGGATGATGAATATTTTCATTCAATCAAGCTTAA